TGTCCCTCCTTGGCCTTCCTCTTCCAAATGTGCTCCAGATCAATCTCCCTCTCCCTTGCCCTGGCAATCATGGAATCCAGGGTAGGGAAAGCTGAAAAACTGACATGCTCCCCGAATGTCGGCTCACAGCATGTCGTGATAGTGGTTCCTCCTTATATCCTCATCTCACGCATACTTCCTCCTTATATCCTCCTCTCTCGGAACTTGGCAGTGATCTCCGCCACAGTCTCAGTCGTCTGTCTCATATCCAAGAACTCCCGGGCCAATTGCTGGAGTTCCACCGCTGGTGCGAGCTCAGCCCTGAACCGGTCACAAAATCTGGCCATGCCATAGCCTTAATAGTCGAGGCTCCCAGAGAGTCACCAACCGACTCCCACTAATCCCTGGCCCAGTCCCTCAAGCATCCCGCTGCATATCGCACCTTCTACCCCTCAGAGCAGAAGCTAGTCAACTGTGCAGACTCAATGTCTGCAATCCATCATCTGGAAGCAATGGGTCCTTCGCCCCATGGTAATCCGGCACACCACTCCCTCTGAAGTCCTTGAAGGACAGTGTGCATGTACTCGCCTAGCCAGACGCCAAATCACTCCTGAATGCTCGGAGGCGATACTCCATCAGCTCGATGATCCCCTCATTGATCGACCCGAAAATGACCGGGGTCGCCTCAAGGATGCCTCTCGTAATCTCAGATGCGATGAACTCGCGTAAGCCATCATCAACCTGCTCGGATCCCACACCCGAGCCCGATCCCAATCCTGACCCAGATCCTGAGCCTCCTACTCCATGTCGTGTGGTCACCATACTGCAAATGAACACATAAATGTCAGCATCCAAACATACCCTGAGAGGTTTCACACATTATCCAAGATTCCTGGTTCCATCTCGGCCCTCCTTGACTTGAGTATGGATCCTCTTCTTTCAATAGTACAGGCCCATACGACCTTCCACATCTATCCGTACTTTCCTCAAGGATTGTTTCGACTTCACCAAGTCCTTTAACCAATATTTGTTTCCAACTATTCTCATCCTAGGCATTCCTAGGGAACTCTCTGACCTATTCTCCGCCACCAGCTGCACCAGGAGTCCCTACCATCCTCCCCTAACTAGCTTGCAGATACTGTTACATATCCGCCCACTGGTTAGTTAAAGTTAGCAAAGACCCCTATAGCACATAGCATGCAACATTCATGCATCGAGTAACCATATCGAGCATTACCTAACCAGGCCATCCTACTACTGACTAGGCAGTTCTAGCATGCAGCTCATACAACAGGCATATAAGGCATCCTTCCTAGATCCTCAGCCCTAATCTATCATGCAGTTTTCAGAAACATACATCAGGCATAAAAGGCATCCTCCTAGACCCTTAGCCCTAATCTAGCATGTAGTTTTCAGAGTCATATATAGTATAACATAACATAACAAGTATAGGTATCTTGGGGAAAACTTACTTGAGCTCGGCCGGTCGTACACATCACACACCTCGATCTTTCTTAAAACTTTTTAACTTAGCTTTTAGAAAATCATTTTCTTTGTAAAAATCTTTTAATCCCTCGGTTTGAGTCCAGACACCCTCGAGGGTGTGTCCGAATCCCTCAAACCAGGGATCTGATACCAACTTGTAACATCCCAAATTTCGAGTCCAAAAATTTCGTTTTTAATTAATTGATTTATAAAACTTCCATAAGAAAACATAGTGAAGACATATCATTTCATAAAAACAAATATCTCGTGTCTGGAAACCAAGCCATAAATATAACAATGTCAGAGTACAATCCCAAAAATCTCGTAATGCGTAAATCTAACATGTGTGTATGATGTGCAACTACCGTGCCGACTCTTTCCCCTTCGCTGAAGAGGTACCTAAAACAAAACTGAAAAACTATAAGAATGAAGCTTAGTGAGTTCCCCCCATCTTACCACATACCATACAATCACATAGCATATAAACACTGTCAGACATATCTGGGTGCCCGACCTACCCCTTCGGTCCTCTCGACCGGATACTGGCTAGCATATATGGGTGCTGGTCTCCCCTTCGGTCCTCTCGACCGGATACTTGCTAGCATATCTGGGTGCTGACCTCCCCTTCGGTCATCTCGATCGGATACTGGCTAGCATATATGGGTGCTGGCCTCCCCTTTGGTCCTCTTGACCGGATACTGGGGACTATTTCACCCCTCTACTACAACCATATAACATGCATCACATAATCATATTCTATCTAGTATGACTGGGTATGACTACCCCTCTTCGGCTCTATCGACCGGAAACCTTGGGGACAATCTCCCCTACTACTACTTGCATATAACATCACATCATACTAGCTCATAACATATCTGGTAGTAGCAAACCTAGATGAATATCACAAAGACAATCATCTAACATACAAATCCTACTGGTGAGCTGACATTTTGGTCGTAGACCCACCACTACTGGAAGGTAACTCACCTCGTAAGGCTGACTGCTGAAAATCTGATCGACAAATGTTTGACTGCTGCTCCGGTGATCCTCCGATTATAAATACATAAAACACTTAATCAGACACTGATAACTACTCTTAGGGTAAAATGACTATTTTACCCCTGACCAATTCAAAGTCAAAGTCAACTTCCAGTTGATCTGACTCGCTGAGTTGGGCCGCCAACTCATCGAGTCCCTATCCTTTCATCTGTCATTCTTCACGCCTCTACTCGTCTAGTTTAGCAATGACTCGACAAGTTCTCCTCCTAAAACAACCTCGAATGAACCTTCATCTAACTCACCGAGTTGTATGAACAACTCGTCGAGTTCATCCCCATCCTATGAACAAGTCCTGCCCTTGACTCGACGAATTGTATGAACAACTTCCAGTGTCCAAATGTCGGGAAAACCCTAACTGACTCGTCGAGTCGTCTCACTGACTCACCGGGTCCATGCAGAAACCAACAATGGCCAATCTTTATCTAACTCGTCGAGCTGACCATGAAACGCATCGAGTCCCTTCAATCTATTTCTCCTTCAGATGTTTTTAAGCTACCCCAAAGCTCCAACTTGTAGATCTAGCTTCCTAAGACATAGTTACAACATAAATTTGCAAACTTTACATGCATGCAAGGTCTTAAAGGCCCAAAACCAAGCCAAAGAAGAAGTTTTTTTAGATGTGATTTAATCGAGTATGAAAGTAATCCGAGCAATCAAAGTAAGATGAACACGAGGAGTAAATAAGATCTAATTTATAGCTCAATTATACTTTCGAATACAAAGAGAATGAATAGACAGAAAGACCTGGAAAACTTCTATCTAATCCCTGAGTACAACTCCTATTTATAGGAGAATAAGAAACTACACAAAAAAATACTAAGGACTAAACATCAATACTTGGAAACATAAAATGCCTTAGTAAATAGATAAAAGACTTCCGAAATTGCTAATACAAAATTCAACAGATTACAACATATTCGACACTAACATTCTCCCCATTTGTAATAAGTGTTGAAGTCAGTTGATTAAAACTTGAGCAGCATCATGTAAGGTTCTTTGGATCTCTGCGTACCAATTCATAACTTTCTTCAACTCAGTTTTATCCCCTTTGCTATTCTTCTTACAAATATTCATACGCACAATTAAGTTTGTATATTGAGCAGTTGTATATCTTTTTATATCTCTTGTCTGTAACAAAAACTTTTTCGGTTTGCCCTTCGTATTCTTCCCAATAAAAACTACTCCAAACGGTTTCAAGCATATCTCACCATCAATATATTCTTCAAATCAGCTTGGCTTTTCAACATTGGCTGACAAACTGACATTTCCTTTCCTATTGACATTGCTAATTCAATATCATTCAATGCTAGACAATCATAGTAATTGTCTATGAAAAGCTTGATATGCCCTAATCCCAACCGCAACACTTCACTGCTGGTTCCCTAAAGTTTCGAAGTATTTGAATCCTTGAGAATGTATGAAACTTGAATAAGATCATTCAAGTTCATTAAAGGAAAATCAGCAATGGAGAAATTATGTGCCACCTTGTTAGCCCTCACAACATGATATCGATATTTTTGCAGCATATTTTTGAACAATTCATCTTTCGTAAAACTTATCACTTCGACTATCTTCACAAGTAACCACACCTCCTCTTGTTCTTTTCCATAAACTACATGGAATCTCAACTTCATATGAGTGAAATCATATGGATTCTTGAATTGATCAACAATTTTATACTGAGCAGTAATGAACATCATCTCATTGGTTGGGAAGTCGAGTTGATTTATTTCTGTGTTTTCGATGGCATAACTCTCCATGGGTTTCTTCTTGAATTCGTGCATTTCATTATATGCCACCTTGCTTTGATATTTTCATAACTGTGCAATTTTCTAGGATCTCCTTTATTCAGATGAGGAGGATCATTTTGTCGAAGACTTAGAATGCTTTGGAATTGTCTTTGCTTTTCCATCTCAGCCTCAACCTCTGCCTTCCTTTCTTCTTTTGAATTTTCAATTAACAACTTTTTCCCCCTGTCTTGATTTATTAGTGTTTCTTTTGGTTTTGATGCACTACCTTCACCAGATGTCCCAATCACAACACCTTTTAACACTTGCTTTGTAGTTGTAAGATTCGAAATCACAGGGTCAGCTTTCGACATGATTGGTTTTATTGTAGGAACGTTTGTTGCAAACAATTTCCCCATAACCTTAACTTCATCTTTAGTTTTCCTTGAAGCTCCTTCACCAACAGGCTTCCTCCCCCCCCCCCCCTTGCACCCATGTGATAACAGGTGGGGCATTTGTTGGTAGAAAACTAGCTAGCTGAGATAACGGGGCTAATTGTTTGTGAAGAACATATTCGAATAATAGAAACTTTTGAGACAAAAACTCTGGAGTTATCAAAGGAGAAGACCCTGACTTCGAAATAAGTTCTTTTAATTCAATCAACAGCTTGTTGATTTCCGAAAAGATCTGAACTTCATATTTAGACATTTGTTCAGCCTTAGGACCAAGGACTTCATATAACTTGACAAATTATGTAACTGCATCTGTAATTATGTCCATTTTTCTGATATAAAGAAGCATAATCTTGTTGAACAACAGCTATCTCTTTGCTCATATCCTCTCGTAGTTCTTGAATCTTAAAGTTCGCATCCTCCCTAACCTTCTTGACATCTTAAATGAATAGGATGTGACGTTCTTTTACAACAATTTTCAGTTCTTTAAGATCATAAGAGAATGTAGATAATTGATTCTTCACACGCTTCTCATTGTTTCTGTCAACATCAGAAATTTCCTCATGAAGACGACCTTCTTTCTTTTTGAGCAAAAGATCAACTTCCAGAATGGACACCGAATGTTTCCCTCCTCCATCGGGTTGAATTTGTAATAACAAATTAAGCTTCTGATTCATGATTTTGAATTGTTTTCCTGTGAGTATCATATTTTCTGGAATCTCCTCCTCTTCTGGATCAAATTGAATATCTCCAAAAGTGCCACTAAAAACATTCTCATCATCATCAAATGAAGGATGAGCTTCTTCATGATTAACCGGAGGTTCGGTAGATTGTGAAGAAAATAATGAAGTAATTGGTTGATTGAGAATATTATCGAAAGTGGGTGTATTTGTGTCAAGAGAAGTGGTAACAAAAGGAGGTAATTTGGTTAAAATATCAATGGTGGAAGTTTCGAAGAGGAAGGAAACAATGATAGGAGTACCTTGAGGTTGTGAAGTTTTGACATTTGTCACCAGGGGAAGAGAAACAATGAGTGGTTCTGGTTGAGATATTTGCGAAGATAGAACAAGCATTTCCATATTGGAGGTATCTTGAAATGTTGTCACTGGAGGATCCTTAGCAACTTCTTCTTCTGTAGATTCATCATTTATCACCAGCTTTCGAAGTTTCTTTTTCTGTTTCTTCGAAATGTGTTTGGCCATATCTTCAGCTTTGCGTTTCTTTGATGATAGGGAAACATGAACTAGAACTTCACGAATCACTACACCTTTCCCTGTAACATGTGGCTTACGAAGCATGGATGGAGAAAAACTTGGAGATCGGTCAGAAGAACTTCGTGACTTATGAGCAATCTTCTTGATTTGCTTAAACACTCCATTTTTCAAAGGAACCACTTCCTTTGGAGCTTCATCAATCGTTGGTGCAATTGGTGTTTCCTCAGGCTTCGAAACAATTACTTCTTCTGTTGGTTTCTTCTTCGGAGACTTTGATCATTTCTTCTCCTGAATAGGTTTCGAAAGATTATCCTCAACCTTCTTTAAACGTCTCGAACGTTTGGAAGAACCCTCTTTAGATCGATCTAGTAGAACACCCGTCTCGATGGAGGGATTGACAATCTTCATGTAAGCTTGTAACACGGAATTTAAAGAATCTACCTTTTGAAGCATACCATCAGGAATCCTAGCAACATTAAGAAATTCCTCAACATTATCTTCAATAGCCTTCGGAAAATTGTACTTCAAAAATTTTGTTGTGGCATCATCACTTGGTACCAGTATCCCTTCGTTTTTGTATGCAAATCGGAGAATTAAACTCCAGTATCTGGCACATGAAATCCTATCCACCACGTTGGTGTTTTCCACACTCTTGAGAAACTCCTTCCACATCTGGGTAGCATAATCCATAGGGATGTCATAATATATGCCAGCAACCATGGCATAAACTTCCAATCTCCATTTATCTAATCCAACACTTCTGCCAGTAAGGCATCGGAGGCATATGCCAAATAGAAAATTCAAAATACAAGGGAGGTTGGATTTCTTGAATTCGCTGATCTTAGTGAGAGTGAGTTGATAACCCATCTCGTTTGAACATGTTCAAAACTTGATCATTGGTGACTTTGTAGAAGGGAGGTGAGTTGGGTATTTCTAGAATTTGGCAGAAAATCTTCTTAATAAACCAGAACTTCTTTTCATTTATCAGATTGAATGTGATGTTATCCAATGTTTTGCTATAAGTGGCAGTAGAACCTGCTAGTGATAGCCAAGACATCAGAACTGCATAGGAACTAAACATCGCAGTCTTTAGAACAGAGTGTTGTAGAGCCACGATCAACATTTGTAACTCTTCAGGATAAACTGTGACATCACTCTCTACTTGATAATTTGTGCTTTGGATTTTCATGATGGGTTGGGAAGAAACATCTTCTATGGTTTGAGATGGAGCATCAACAATAGCGGGATTAGCCATGATTAGGGTTTGAAAATGGATGAAGAAGCAAAGAGTTCTTTTGCGATTTGGGAATTTTCAGAAAGCGTAATCGTGTAATGAACCCTTGAAACCCCTTTTATAGGTGACCCTTAGATTTGAATTTGAAGCGGGATCAGCATTAAATGATAGCTGATGTGGCACCTTGAAAATCACACCCATATGTCGATAAACTAGCCATGCGTGATAAAGTGAAAATCACTTCTCCTTGATACCCGGACATAATACAAAACTTCTTGTCATACAGCCTGGTAACATGCCCCAATGGAATAACAACCATCATAAACCTTCGGAATGGCGGCAAGACTCTTTCACTTTTGGGTGGAAAAGCAAAGTTATATGCTAGACTTTCGAAATCATCAGCCTGAGTTGGTAATACTCAGAACCTCAAGGATTTCGTGAGTACAGTGTGCCAAGGAAAAAGATAAGAAGCAAATAAAGAAAAATTTGTATATGTGATGTCAAAAAATTAAGTTTTCGACATAAAAGTAGATAAATCTCGGGAAAAGATTGCTTTGTTATTCATCATGAGAGATGACTAACAGCGTGTGTATGTTCCCGTGAATTACAATCAAATACTTGTAAAGAAGTATCGAAGGGCCTCTTTTTAATAAGCTTTTTGGGTGGTTTAAGTTTTCGTTACATATCAACACTTAACATAAATGTGAGTAATTGTAACAAAAATTACTTGGATGACGAGTGTAGTCAGTGACAAGTAGGCTTTGGAAAAACTTTTGTAAGTGACTTCAAGAAACAAATAATACTCACACGGAAATCATATTCAAGAAAACAAAATAGCATCTGGATCTTGTTGGGAAACAAATGTCGTGGGTTTCGAACATTTGATCAAGACCACTCAAAACAATTGAATATGATTTGGAGTATCGAAGGTTGGTACAGAAACAAATGTTTCGTCAAATTTGGAACAATGTTCCTCGTCAATTCCTTAAATGGTTTGATATTTAGGGTTTCACTTTCATCACGATCTCGTGATGTTAGATAATTACGCAGAATGTTGATATGTCAAAATCCTGATTGGTTTTACTATAGATCTCTTAGACATATGTCATTGTGTGTGAAAGTGTAAGAACATTTCGATGAAAAAGATTGGTTAAAGAATTTTGAATGTACCACTGCTATTTGTTGGACCAAGAAGATTACTCTAAACTCATTTGAGTAGAGTATGGTAGCTCATAGACTAATGTGAATATAGCCTGATTGGGTAGAAATTTTCGTGATGAAAACTTCATTAAGGCTTCGAAAGAACACATTGAGTCAGAAGAGGCTTGCGTCAACATGTTGCAACATGCTTCTAGGGACATCCTAACTAGTACAAAGTTTTTCGAAAATATACCTGACCCTAGAACTGCAAGCATGAACCAATAATGATCTTCACTTTTTGTTGTATGAAAAAATAGAGAAACAACCAACAAATAAACAAGAAAATCTCTTTACAGTTTTGAATTTTTCGAAAAAACAAAACAAAACAAAAGTAAAATCTTTTTGGTGTTTTTGATTTTTTGAAAATTAGAAACAAAACAAAAGTAAAATCTTTTTGGTGTTTTTGATTTTTAGAAAATAAAAAAAACGAAAACGAGAAAAGTAAAGATACCAAACTTGCGAATTTTTTTTCATTTGAGCCATTCTCCAAGATGTTGAAATCAAAGCGTGTCGAAGCGTTGACTATGAACAGTAACCGTTGACTCCGACAACTGTCCATCTTTTTCACATTATTATTCTTTTGAATCACTTCCTTGAACTGAACCTCCTTCGATCATTCCTAACCCTGCTAAAATACAAACAAATGATTTTTCATCCAAAGGTTTAGTAAAAATATCAGCAAGTTGATCTGTGGTTTTTACGAAATGAACTTCGATATTGCCATCCTCTACATGATCTTTTATAAAATGATATCGAAGAGCAATATGCTTGGTTTTCGAATGTTGCACAATATCGTGACAAATTCTTATTGCACTTTGCGAATCACAATATAATGGAATTTTCTTGATGTTGATTGCATAATATCACAATTGGCTTTGAGTCTAAATAATTTGAGAAGTGCAAGTTGCAACAACTACATATTCTGCTTCTGTTGTTGAAATCGAAACACATGTTTGCTTCTTCGATTGCTAGCTCACAAGTTTCCCATCAAGTAATTGACATCCGCCACTTGTGCTTTTTCGATCAAGATTACAACCCCCTAAATCAGCATCCGAAAATCCTTGTATGAAAAATCCTGTTTCCGAAGGATACCACGATCCTAACGAAGTAGAGCCTTTGAGATATCGAAAAATATTCTTCACTGCTTTCAAATGTGGTTCTCGGGTATTTGATTGATATCTAACACAATTACAAACAGAAAACATAATGTCAGGTCGACATGTGGTAAGATAAAGTAACGAACCTATCATGCTTCTGTACAAAGTAAGATCAATAGCAGGTTTATCTAACAAAGGTGTGAGCCTTGTTCCAACCGCCATTGGTACTCGCAATTTTGTGCTATTCGTCTAGCCAAAATTTTCAAGCAGATTCTTTGTGTATTTTACTTGATTTATAAAGATTCCTTCTCTGTTTTGAAGAATATTCAATCAAAGAAAGTTTTTAATTTTTCCCATCATTCTCATCTCAAATTTGCTTTTCATCAGATTTTCGAATTCACTAGACAAAGCAGGGTCAATAGAGCCAAAAATTATATCATCAACATAAATTTAAACAAGCATTAGATGACCCCCAACTTTCTTTCGAAAGAGAGTGGAATCAACAGATCCTTATTTAAATTTCGATTGTTTTAAGAAAGAAGTTAAAGTTTCATGCCATGCTCTTGGTGCTTGTTTTAACCCATGAACTGCTTTATCTATAATTTAACAATGATCAGGATATTCTTCATGTACAAAACCTAGAGGTTGTTCCACATACACTGTTTCTTCGAGTTCACCATTTAAAAATTCACATTCGACATCCATTTGATAAACATCAAAATATTTATGAGCTACATAGGCTAAAAATATTCGAACAGCCTCGAGTCTTGCAACAGGGGCAAAGGTTTCTTCATAATCGATACTTTCTTATTGCGAATAACCATTTACAACTAGCCTAGCTTTATTTTGAATAATATTACCATCTTTGTCGGTTTTTGTTTTTGAAAATCCATTTTAATCCGACAATCGAAACATCTTTTGGTTTAGGAATTAATCTCCAAACTTTGTTTCTTTCGAATTCAGCCAATTCAGATTGCATTGCAACAACCCAATCAGAGTGTTCCATTGCAGCCTTAACTGACTTTGGTTTAATTTTCGAAATAAAAACATTATACATGCAAAACTCTTGATGAGTATTAAGTACCTCATTCTTTGCACGTATTTGAGCTCTTGTCAGTACTCCTTCATGCGGATCTCCTATCACTTGTTCTTTAGGATGACTTCTAACCCATTTATCCATTGGAGGATATGTTGAATCAAAATCTAATGGTGCATCTTTGAACATTTCTTCTGTTTTGGAACCTACAACAGAAACATTATCATTTAGATCATGAAAAATTTCATCTTGATTATTATTTGACATATTTAGCTCCCCCTCGACAAATTTATTAGTTGTTTGCTCCCCCTCAGCATCATCATGTATTCTTCTATTCTCCCCCTCGAAAGAATGCTCCCCCTCATTTTGATAATTCGAATTCAAGTGATCCCCCTCCACTTGATCATTTAGCGTACTTTCGCTATTTGTAGAAGAAGGTGATGCCAGGTTTTCATCAATTTCATCGGGAGTAGATGTCAAACAATCAGAATGCTTGGAAGATTCCGAAAGTTGATTATCTTTAGCATTAATTTCGGCATCCTCAGCTCTATCTGGAACACCAAAAATTAAATCATAATCAAAATCATACGAATCATAATTTTCAGATTCATCTTTTGATTCATTAAGAATTGGTTTTTGTTCGAAACATTTTTCAACTTGTTTGACATAATAATCATCGAATGTAAGATTGAATGTTTCTTCGATTTTCCTTGTTCGTCTATTCAACACTCGCTATGCAACCAAATTATAAGAATAACCCAAGAAAATTCCTTCGTCAGCTTTGGACTGAAATTTCGAAAGATTATCTTTGAGATTCATGATAAAACACATGCAACCAAAA